TGTATGTATGTATGTATGTACAGTATGTATATGTATGCCAGTATATACACAGCTTCTTGCTCCTCGCTGAGCCGTGACAGAATCTCGCGGCTGTAGCCACCACGCCCAAAGGTGCAGTCCTGGAGCAACTGACAGGATTTCAAGCCATCGGTGGCAGCAACTCAAAACAACTAGGTGCAAGACAACATACAAGCCGGTGAACAGCTCGTTGCCAGATCGAACACCTGTGCTACGATGAGATTCTGAGACTGAGTCGACTCTGTAAAGAGCTCCGCCAACCAAAACATCTTCTGACGGCTGGTTGCTCAGTTCGTCGTCGGCATTGGCGAGGCAGTGGGATGGGAAGAGCCACTGCATGGTTGGCACCAAAAGCACGGGCTCGTGCCCCGCAACTCCTTGGCGCGAACTTTCCGCGAGAGTAGAAGCTCCGTGAACCCGTCTCCATCTGCAAACGCACATAATCATAACCCGGCCCTAGCACATGGGGCCGCCACGACCTTCGCTCAACGCCCGCTGGTGCCTATCGCGAGCTTCCTTGCGTAAACGAGGCAACGACTTCTCAACATTCAGCAGCAAAAGGATTCAAGGACAACTTGACCAGCGCGCACGGCAGGACGGGATGATGTCAAGCAAGTGCTGGCCCACACACACCCACGAGTACTACAAGTGCTTCAGCTGCACGAGATTGTGCAAGGCATAACTGCCACGAGACACGCTGCCCGCCAATGCGACACGCTAAGCAAACGCACCACGGCGGTCCTCGATGCTGCCCTGCAGATCGAAGCCGTCGATCCACTCCTCAAAAGCACAAGAAATCTGCTTCTGCTGCTGCGCTCGCTTTGGTTCTGCCTCCTCCTCCTCCTCCTCCTCCCAGCTGTCCTGACGGCTGCTTTGCCACAGCATACGGCACAGACACGTGCTGTGCAGCTCCTCCTCCGTTAGCATGCTGAGGATGCTGTTCGACGTGCCTGCACGGGAGCTCTGAACTCGGTTCTGAAGTCTTTACCTCTCATGCAGAAAAACCGTGGCGGGGCCGTGAAGGAGAAACAAGGGACCAGTTTCCTGGCGTCTCCCTCAGTTAACTCGTCTCTGAAGTGCAGCTTGGCAGGAGCGGAGAAGACATGCATGATCAAGGACAGCACTGCCCACATTTCACCATTTCAGGAAATTTATGTGGCAGCAGCGTTGCCTTCGCCTCGCGCTAGTGTCCGACTGCGTCCTGAGAGGTGACAGGTGACATGAGTGAGAGGGGAGCTTGGCATTCACGTCAGTTCCTTCGCTTACTACCCAGCAAAGTATTGTGCAGAGCTCTCCGCACCTCTGGCTCTCCATGGAAGCGACTTCCTGCGTCGTGGACAAGCCGAAAGCGCGCTGTGTCCTGAGAAAAGCGCGGTCCTTCTGCGCGCCCAAGGGCACCGCCGAGACATTGGCGCCTTGAGGCCATGCGAGACTGCACATGCGGTGCACATCGCCTCTTGTTCTCGAGTTCCAGCCAATCTGGGACAAACAGCGGCGTTCCCTTCCTCTGACCAAGGCAGAACCTTTCCTGCGATCCATGCTCACTGTCTGAGTTGGCTGTCAGTTGGCTTCAGCACTTTGGCCAGCCATACGAGATTATCACTGCTGAAATTCTCATCAGCCGCTGTCGTTTGACGGAGTTCGGTCTCTGAAACTTGCAGTCTGAGCGAGGGACGGTAGCCATCAACAGCACACCGGCACCTTCGCGAAGTGATTCACGGGCATGGGCCCTGCGATTTGCTTGCGACACGACACGCTTTTGCCTCCGCACCGCATCGCACCGTGACCTCTTGAGTCGAAAAATGGCCTTTGCTTAATACAACAACACAAACACAGGTCACTCCATCTCCGGCACAGCAAGAGAATTCAAGTGGGCTGGCAAAAGCAGCTTGAAGAGCCCAGGAGCCCAACAAGAGCCCAAGACTGCCTGCAACATCTCTTTGACGTGTTGGCAGGTCGGCAGTTGCCGCTACGATTCGGACTTGGGGGGAAGCGGTTCGCAACAGAAGACTGCAGAAGACTGACTGTGAACCAACTCCGTCCGAACTGGTCGCAAGTGCTTCTCCAGCAGGATGCTCAAAGGCAAATCTCAAATCTCCATGAATCCAGACGAGGCGGCGAGACGATGCCAGCGGCGAGGCGGACGGCCACTGTAGGGTCTCAAGGAGCAGTCACAAGCAAAGACGGGCCGCCCGAGCCGGGCCGGCCCGCCGCTCCCGCGCTTCGGCGGCTCGAAGCCGGTGCCGGTGCTCCGCTCGGAAGGCCCTTGTAAAGGCCCCAAGGCAAGAGACTTCGGCGGCTTCGGCCTTGTAATTCCAGTCACACCCTTTGCAGGCCCATCCGAAGTGGCCACATGATTCGGGTTGCTCCGCATCAGAAAGGCCTCAATCTCTCGGCTGGCGGGGGCTCGTACGCCTCATACTCGATGAACTTCCTTCCCACATTTGGCAACTCTTGTGAAGCTTCAGGTTCGATCAGTTTTTGGGATGGTGACGGCACCTGTAAAAGCTGCACCGACCGCGTCGAGGGCTGTGTTGGCCGAGGCTGGGGCCGTGGAAACGTCGCCATTTTGGCCATGGCGAAATCCTACGCTTTGCGTTTATTCTACCCGCACGAAACTCTCGGGCCAGCACAGCAATGTCAGTTGAGTCTAATGGAAAGTCGGCTGACGGCACTTTAACTGTGTCAAAGATGCATCACGGCCTGCAAGCTGGACATCTAGAAGCCGCCCTGAAAACGACTGGAGTTGGACAGGCAGCTAAGGTGTCTACACTCACAGCAACGAACGGCACCTGGCTTTGAAGGGGAGCAGCGTGGAATGTGCAGATCCTGATTTCTTCACAGCAGTCGAAGCAGACAGACCGACTGTGTGACAACAAACTGTTTGGGGCTAGTTAGCATGCGGGTGGCATGTCGCAGCGGAGACCGCGCCGCTGCCCGGATCATTGCATCTGCCACTTGGCCCCAAGTATAGCTACGCCGGCTAAGCCACCTTCGATGTAATTGACAAGCTTTCCATAAAGCAACCTGCAACGTTGTTGTGCGGATAAGCTCAGCTTCTGCTCAACATTGTGACACAACCCATAAGAAGCAGCTCCAACGCAACCCGGTGTCCAGGATCTCCTCAACTGCCATTTGGCAAGGTGGCTGTCGGCAGTGTCACATTCGGTGAGCCAGTGCATCGAGCAAATGAACACAGGCATTCGCTCACGGCAGATTGCAGGTCTGCACGTATCAAGTTACGGGCGTTTTTACACGCTCATGTGAGAAATACAATTAACAACATGGTCTGCATGTGTCAAGTTGCCAACCAGACGACGTCAGCACCCATCGAAGCAAAACGCGATGTAGAGCAATCAGGAGAGCTAAGGACACGAAGCCAGAGGTCAGGCGGGCACACCATGAGCCCATGTGCCTTGGGTGACAAGCCGGCGACAACCAACACATAACTACACCTCAGCACAACTCAGCACAGCAGCTGGCGATTGAGCTTTTGAGCCACTCGCCCTGAGCCTGGATTCAGTTGAAGCCCAGGCCCGGGCGATGGGCGGGACGGAGAGATGTCTGATCATGTGAGGCCGTGGCCGTCGGTCTGCAATCCCTTCTGGGCGTGCGTGGCTGAAGTACGGAGACTCCGCCCGCAATTGAGAGGATGCGAAGTCATGGCTTTCAAGACTGGACAATTGTGTTCTTAGGGTTTCACCGTTGAATACATCCTACATGCCATGGTACGGTAACAGGCTTGGCATCAGCATTGGGAACAGAGCAGTATGAAAGCTTTGCGTCCGAGAAGTTTGGCGGCAGAATCGAGCTGGCCTGCTCTGTTTGCAGTCCAAGACACAGGTCGCTCCATTCTTGCAGGCCCCCTCCTGCAAGGCAATCAGGGACTGGCACTTGCGTTCGGACTACAGTTGCTGCTGGATTCTTTCTTTGTAGGTCCTCCCAGAACTTGCAAATGGTTCTCTTCACAGAAGATCCAAGGCTTCCTCCATGGCCCTGCCGCGAGGAATAATTACTAGCCAGGCACATGTTCACGTGCAGCACGTGCATATATAGGAGATCTCCGATTTTTGAAAGGGCCTTCATTCGAGTTTCAACCTCGAGCAACCACGCATGAGCAACTTTGGACATCGTTGGACTGTGGTCATCACTCGCACCAAAAGGTGCTGCGACATTCCGTGCAATGTGAAATAATGTGAAATACTATGTGGGGCTAGCTTTCATCAGCGCTGTTTCCAGCGGCTCGGGATGCATCTTTGGCGTCCCGAGGGGATCTAGGAAGTCATCGCTCTCTTTCAGGACGTCTCAAGAAAGCATGATCTTGACTCAAGGGTTCCGAAAGAAAGCAAACTAGCAGAGGTCTCCAAGAAGGCTCACTCAGGTGGCAGGAATACGTCGGAGTTGCGGCTTGGTCGCATCCAACCTGAAACATCCGAGAAAACGCGCAAAGCCACGCGCCGTTGCCTGAAACTCCGAAAGCCCACCCTAGGCTCCGGGCGGTCCCTGAAGCCCCGCTTGTGGATAGCGGCCAATGCCAGACCCACACCGAGCACGGCAGCCTCCGTCAGAGGCTCGCAGGCGGCGACGCAGTGCGATGCGAGGCTCTGGCAGACACGCGCGCCCGCGCGCTCGCGCTTGGATTTTACTACGGGGCTTTTAAGTTAGCTCGGCCGCCGGCGAAGAGGACGAAGGTCACTGCGCCGCACGAGGAGAAGAAAAGGTCCTCCTTTTCCTGCAATTTGGCAGTCCAAGAAGCTCGAATCCATTTCAGTGCTTCTTCGGAGGTCCTTGACCTCTTCGAACTTTTGGTCCGCCAAGGGGACACCGGGACACATGAAGGTGAGCCTGTACTGGCCTCGGATGGGCTCAAGATGGCTCAAGAAGCTCCACGAAGCAGAGCAGAGCCAGGCGAGACCCTGGCCGTAGGAGCAGCGCATCAGCCCTTGACCTGCATGCATCAGTTCTTGCGCTTCGGAAGCGTAGCTCCGAAGCATTCCTAGCTAGGGCGGCCATCGTCGTAGGCGAAGGCATAGACGCCCGGGCAGTATTGGTGCACTGTCTGGCAAGAGGTGACTATCACTCAAGACTCAAGACATTTCAAGACATCACCTGCCCGTTTTGTCCAGCACCCCCGCTGCCTGGACGTACTTCGTTTGCGGCAAGGGCCCCGCGTTGCAGGTCTGCGAGTTCTCAGGTGGTGTGGTACAGCCTGTGCGAAACGAATTTCCGTCCACGATCTGGTCTGAGCTGTCCGAAGGCGCCCCAGGGCGCAAGCAGTATTTTGTCACGTCGGGGTCGTTTCGGGACTTGCCCGTTGCCTAGCATGGACGAAAAAGGCACCACCTGTTGAAGCGCAGAACTGAAGTGCTTCCGCCTGCACATTGTTCCACTTGGTGTCGATGAGCTTCAAGCAAGGAGCATAGCAGCCTTGGGCTGGCGGAAACACTGCAGGAACCCCCTGACCTGCCAGCATGCAAAGCCCCTGACCTACGGGTTTGTGGATTTTGGGGTTGATCGCCTGCACACCAATGCAACGAAGGACGAGATCTGAAAGGCTCGCAGCTCGCATCAGCGTGCAGGGATCTGTGCCTGCATGTTCGTTGGCCCCTTCCCCAAGTTGTCGTCGACGGGGCACTTGTCAACAGAGAGGCCACTACAGTCCAGGTTCGTGATAGTCTGGGCCTGTGGATCCTGACGCAATCGCAATTGCAATTGCCGGAAGCCTCCTGAGCCTGTCCGTGCCTGTCCTGCCCAGTGCATGTGCCCGCCACAACTTCCAGTTTGAAAGGCAACGTGAAGCCATCCACCAGGCTCATGTCAATGAAGTCACAACCAGCCTCAGGAGCAACGTGCTGAATATGTCCAGAGAACGGAGACCCGCTCAGCCTGCTGCTCTAGAACTCCCGATCCATATTCTAGGTTAGTTTGGTGAACTGGAGAGCAGCACAGGAGCCCGAGCACTCCCCATGCAAGATCTCGAAGTGTCAGGTTCGCGCTTGTTTCATGTGTGGCGATGCCATCACAACAAGAAGAGTTCAACCACATTTCTTGCTCTTTACGATGTCTGACATGCTCTGACGCCGAATCCCGACTCGAGCTGCTTGCAAGACAAGTTTGGTGCTCATGCGCACAACTCTACACACCACCGGAAGCTCGCGGGTCAGTCCGCGTCCTTGTCACTGCGGCTTGCTAAATGATGTGCTTTCTTGACCGTGTGCCGATTTGAGGCATGGAAGCACTTCAGGACATGCATGGCGTCCAAGCCTGCACCTGAACACATGGGTGCAAGCACTCCACGAAATGCACGCATACAGATAGCTAGCATACACAGAGCAACAAAGATTTGCGGCGTCGCTACAAGCATGACGAATTCGACAGCTCGAAGGCTGCAAGTGCTGTGCATGCCCTGCCGCCAGGATCCCTACAGGATTGGTGGTTGGGGAGAGGGGAAAAAAAGAGCGCTCTCGCAGAGGTCCCAGCTCGAGTTGTCCTCTGGCAGAGCGTTTTCCGTGGAGGCAAGGACGCCGGTTCGCCGGTCGCACCACTGCTGTGCCCGCCAGTGAAGCTGCTGCAGCAGGACGTCCTGCGCGTCGAGGCTGTAGAGCTCGTTGGAGTCAGACTCCTCCATGACCATCTGGGGATACCACCGTCGCATGAAGCGATGTAGAAACCCCTCCAGGAGCAGTGCCTGGGCTGCAGTGCGACAGACGACGACCACAGGCAGGCTCTCGAGGCGGCAGTCCTGGGAAGCATAGAGGCGCTTGTAGGTCTGGAGTCTCTGTGTCGGCCCTTGGTCTCGTCTTTTGTAGTGCGGTTCAATATGAGAAGCTCCGAGCTTCAGGTACTTGGTGAAGCGCAGCACGTGCACCACGCCGATGGTGGTCTCAGCTAGAACGGTGCGACTCTTCAGGTGCTCGACGGGCATCTCCTCCAGGAGCTGCTCACAAAGCTCGTCGACGCGGTCGCCGTAGCCGGGAAGACGTCTGCCCAACCAGCGTGAGATCACAGACTTGTACCGGCATTGCACAGTTGTTGCACGCGCGGTAACAACATCTTGCATGTCTTGCAGACCACAGTTCCCGGGATCTTGATAAAGCTTACTGGGAAGACGGTGTCTGCTTTGAGCCAGGGGTAAGTCCATAGCTCTTCAGAGTCCGCCATCACTGGCAAGAGCTCCCTAAGTCAGAGAACCATCCGATGAAGCACCTGCCAATCCTCAACACTCAGGTTACCGGCTCTAGCGAGGTGCGTCCAGCGCTTCCAGTCCGGCTTCTGGGACGCTGTGGACTCCGCTGCCTCTTCTGGCGGCACTGCAGCCCCTTGTAGAAGCACCGCGCTGGACGCAGCACGTGGGTCGGCGCCTTCAAGTGCTTCCACGGGAGGTGCTTCTACAGGGGAAAGGTGCTTCTACAGTGGGGAGGTGCTTCCACGGGAGGTGCTTCCACACTGGAGA